TCCGGAGCCTGTGCTCCGCAACGGGAGAGGCCACAGCGGTGAGAGGCCCGCGTAACGCAAAAAAAAAAAAAAAAAAAAAAAAAAAGAACGTATGTTAAAGATTTTATTGAACTTATGAGGGAAATTAGGCAGATGTTATAAGGTGCCAAGAAGCACAAATTCATATGGAGTAAAGGAATGTTGAAATGAATGGAAAATGGAGGTAAAACTGGCTTTCCACAGGGTAGGAGGGAAGACACTTGAACCTTTACCTGAAAGGACAGAATCTGCTTAGTTACAGACAGGAATTCTGCATTGCTATTAGTTACCTACAGTTAGTTAGAGTTGTGAAATAGCTTCCTGGGTCTGATCAGGTGGAAGGGTGTGTTAACAGATAATGGGTACTTTTCCATCAAAGTACAAATGTTTTTCTCCAAAAGGAAGGTTAAAAGAACCTTCAGTGATGGTATCAGCTCTGGACTACAGACCTCTGGACTCCTTTGAAGGGAGAAAAATAAACCCCTATTTTCTGAAGTAATAATTGTTGGTTTCTGCTAAACGCGCCAGGGAAGTCCCATCACTTTTACTTTTTAATTTACACAGTGGTCCATCAATAAATTGAATGTCCACTCTCAGGGGTTATAAAGCAGCTTGCAGCAGACCAACGTTTCCACTAACAACAACTAGAAAAGCCAGAAAGAAATGTCAGAATCCATCTCTTTGAAGGCAGTGAAGAGCTGCTGAAGAGACAAGAACTGGAGGAGTTAAGACTCCAGAAAGCAGGGGCTTCCCTGGTGGTGCAGTGGTTAAGAATCCGCCTGCCAATGCAGGGCACACGGGTTCGATCCCTGCTCTGGGAAGATCTCACATGCTGCGGAGCAACAAAGCCCATGCGCCATAACTACTGAGCCTGCGCTCTAGAGCCGATGAGCCACAACTACTGAACATGCGTGCCACAACTACTGAAGCCCGCGCACCTAGAGCCCATGCTCCTCAACAAGAGAAGCCACCGCAATGAGAAGCCTGCGCACCTCAACAAAGAGTAGCCCCCGCTCGCCACAACTAGAGAAAGCCCACGTGCAGCAACAAAGACCCAACGCAGCCAAAAATAAAAACAAAACAAAACAAAAAGACTCCAGGGAGCAGAGAAACCCAGAGGGTGAGCAAATGTCTGTAGCCACTTTTATTTGCCCTGAGGGCATCTGCCAATTCTGGACACAGGCATGAGGCTGAGGATCCAGACTTTGAATCCGCAGAGGGCCACTGCTGGGGACAGGCAAACAGCAGAGATTTTGGCAGAGACCGAGTGGGGAATTCCAAGGACATGTGCCAGATTCTGGGCAACTCTGTATTTCAAGAAACTGAAATTTAAGTGGAAAGCCTCTGAAAAGCAGAGGACGCTTTTGATAGACTTGCAAGGTGAAGATTTGCATTTGAGACCTGCTGGGGTGCTGATGGGGTGGGTCACTGCAGAGCAAACTCCAGGCTCCCAGGTGGAAGTTGGAGACACAGAGGTAGACTGAGCCCTACCAGGATCTCAATGCAGCTGTGACTCAGTACCAGATTGGCTACTCTTCTCATTGGTCTCGTGGAGGAAGGGGTAAACCCTCCCTGGAGGATAATAACATTTGAAGCCTCTACAACTTTTTACAAGCAAAATTTGCCATCTAGGGACTTCCCTGGTGGCGCAGTGGTTAAGAATCTGCCTGCCAATGCAGGGGACACGGGTTTGATCCCTGGTCCAGGAAGATCCCACATGCCGCGGAGCAACTAAGCCCGTGCGCCACAGCTACTGAGCCTGCGCTGTAGAGCCCGCAAGCCACAGCTACTGAGCCCGCAGGCCACAGCCACGGAAGCCCGCGTGCCTAGAGCCCGTGCTCTGCAACAAGAGAAGCCACCGCAATGAGAAGCCCGCGCACCGCAACGAAGAGTAGCCCCCGCTCGCTGCAACTAGAGAAAGCCCACACAGAGGAACGAAGACCCAACACAGCCAAAAATAAATAAAATAAATTTATAAAAAAAAAATTTGGCATCTAATAAAAAATTACTGGATATATGAAAAACCAGAGAGAACAGACAATAGAAACAGATCCACAGTTAATCCAGATACTGAAGTTACCTGACTAAAATTACTACGGTTAACATGTTCAAGAAAATAGAGTAAAAGATGGAGAATTTTACTTGAGTATTGAAATCTGGAAAAATAAATCAAATGGAAGCCCTAGAGCTAAAAAGTACATTAAATAAAATTATGAATTCAGTATATTAGACACAACAGAAGACAGGGTTTTAACCACTGGACCGCCAGGGAAGTCCCCCTCTGACTTTATTTTTAATTTTCTTGCATAATATGTGATTTATAAGGAGTTAAATTTAAAAAAAAAAAGTATTCTAGCATTCCACAGAAGTTTCTCAAACTGTAAGCCTACAGCAATGATTAGCTACTTTCTTGCCTCCATAGTCACCTTAGTTTTAATTCATCCCTAAATTCAAATCACAAAACAAATGTTGTATATAGAATTCTTTTTAACTTTAAAAATGGATTAAACCGTAGAACACAGATAGATTACCCAGAACTTAATTCAATAGTATTGATACCATGGTTTAATTTACTTCATCATCTCTGCCCTTATTTTATTTTTCAAAGTTAGTACATTGCCTACGTACGCATCTTTTGGGAGACAGATGAATGGAGTACTTGTGTTAAACATCTGGGGCCAGGATATGTCAGAGATTCAAAACCAGGACACAGAACATGAGGGCTAAATGCTTCTAGAATGATTCTACCCGAGTCACAGGTGAGCAGGTCAGGTCCTTTCTGATAGTACCTGAGATCTATCCTCCCAGCCCATGTTTCCTGAGCCTCGGAGTAACTCTCATCTGATATTTTCGTAACTTCTTTCAGCTTCTGTCATTTTCAAGGGTGAATGAAATTATGTATTCCCAATCAGATGGGAACAAACCTCCCTCTCCAACTGCTTGTTTTCTGTTCCTTCTACATTCCTCTCATCCAGCCAAGATGCTGAATAAAATGACCATATCTCCTAATATCAGTGACACTGAAAACTTATCAGACTGAAAGTATGAATCATCATTCAAATTCCCCCCAAAATTCTAGTTTATAACCACTCCTCGGAAATTCCCATTTATAAATAGAAAAATCAAGAATGAAGTTATTTTCTTTTTAAATCCATTTCTCCATCTATAAAAAAATTAGTTTACCACAGAACTTAACCCACTGCATGTATATTGTTCTGATCCAAGCAACTATAAATAAAGCTGAACTGCCAAAACTTCCTATTTCTTTTCATTTTTTCTAGCAAGAATTGGTAACATTTAGCATCAAATTTCACTGTCATGCAAAGGATGTTTAAGGATTTTCTGGTTTTACTCCACCGGAAGTAGGATCAATTATGCAGAAGTCCCCTGATTCTACATCACCACAAAACCCACAGCAACCAAAACACATACACAAATTAAGAAGAATTCTTCATCTCAAGAAATTGCAGTTGAAGCCACTAAATGTAAGAACAACAGAAAAGAGGCAGATTAATAAAATACAGTAAAAACCATAAAAGTTGAATTATGCACTTTCATCTTGATAGATACTGCTATATTGCCCTCTTAAGAGTTGGACCAATTTAACCTTCCACACGTAAGGTATGAGGGTGCCTATTTCCACATAGCCTTGTTATCATAGCATGGTATCCAATTTTTTTTCAGTCTGAGAGGTAAAAAGTGGTATTTTGGTGTAGTTTTATATTTAGTATCTCATCATGAATGAGATGAGTAATTTTTTGTATGCTTACAAACCATTTGTATTTCCTTTTCAGTGAATCATATTTTAGTAGCTTTTGCCCAGTTTTCTGTTTTGGTCTTTTTCTTATCAAATTGTGAGAGTTCTTTATGTACTAAAGAGATTTGTCTCTGATGTGAACTGGCAATATTTTCCCCCGTTTTGCCATTTGTCTTTCGCCTTGACTAAGAAGTTGATTTGGCCCAAGGTAAAGAACTTTAATTTCAAGGCTTTCCTAAGTGTTTGTGTACTCAAAGGAGGCTACGGAGGTAGGAGACTCTTGTTTGGAAAGACACAGCCACCTGCCTGCTTCCTATGCCCTGTCAGGCCCGTGGGCAACGCCTGCAGGTCAGCAGAGGAAAAAAGGGAACGGATGTTGCTCGCATGGTGTGTACAGAGTCCTCCCGGTGGGGGCCAGGAACACTGGCACACAGGGCACCTTTGGGAACACGTTTCTCTGCCCGAAGATGGATTTAGGCGCACATCCCACCCGAGGCTTCCCCCAGAGAGTGGGAGGGCACCAGGAGGGGGGGGTCGTGTTTCCCTCTCCTGGTGGAGGGTGTCAGAGCGTGTGCAAAGCCTCTTTCAGACCATCCGCGGCTCCTGGTGTGATTCTAGACCCAACACATCCATTTTGGGAAAGGTGATGCAGGGGCTACTCGTGTCGTGGGGATTGTCCCGGTGTAGTGAGAGGACCAGGTCCTAGCGCACAGTTTCTCCACGGTACCCCAGCGGGCAGCGGTACTGTCGGCCCGGGTGAGGTGGGGGCCAGGTAGCTTGCCCAGGTACCCAGGGCTGGAACCGGCTGCCGGGTGCCGGGCCCAAGCTCTCAAGCCCCAGCCCTCGGCAGTGCTAGAGCGGGTCCAAGGAAGGGCCTTGGGATTCGCAATGGAAGGGCCAACAGCCTCACCGGAGTAAACTTTCTGGGGTCTGAGGCGGATTCTAGCTTCCATTCCCGGGTCCTGCCAAGGGCGGGTGTAACCATCTCTCAAAGCTCGGCCAGGACCTGTGCTCAACCACCCAGGCTCTGCTCTCGACCTCTGAGCATTTCACACAATGCCCTCAAGATTTTATGCACCCTTGTATTTTTGTTTTTTGGCCGCGCCACGTGGGATCTTAGTTCCCCGACCAGGGATGGAACCCGCACCCCCCGCACTGGAAGCGCAGAGTCCTAACCCCTGGACCGCCAGGGAAGCCCCTGTGCACCCTGGTCTTATTTCCTCACCTAGACATCCGACATCGGCCGCGCAGAGGTTTACGTGTATTGCCACATCCGACGGCAGAGCACTTCGGCAGCAGGCGGATCTCCACAGATCTCGTAGCCGACAGCGTGTGGGGACCGGGTCAGGAGGGCCAGCAATGAGCGGAGAGGCGCGAGGGCAAGGGACTGGGAAGTTCACCCAGGGGAGGCCCCGGCGGGGTGATGGACGGCGGGATGAAAAGCCAGACTTTAGGGGGAACATCACATCTGGCCCAGCCTGGCGGGGTGGGGAGGGGGGCGGACCCGGCTGCAGAAGGTCCAGACTCTCCCTCGGGGGGGAAAAAGGGACTTCCTGCCAGGTGCTCTGGCCTCTTTCGAGGTTTCTGGAGAAACGAAGCCAGGCTCCATTTCCTCTGAAGTCAGGCAAACCGGGCCGGGCCAGCAGTCCCGCCCTGACAGTTCCTCAACCCTCAGAGCCTAGGCCGGCGGTTTCCCCAGCTCCCGGCTGAGGCCCGCAGCAGCTAGCCGTCCGAGTCTTCCCGCCAGCCCCGCCCCCGCCCCCCAGGAAGTCCGGGGTGGGGTCTTCGCCCCAGCTCCTTCTCGCTCTTCCCTCTGCCCGCCCACATCTTCCCCCAGCCTCCAGCCAGCGTCCTCGCCCCAACCCCGCCCCACCCTTGTCCCGCACTCCCGCCACCCCCCGGTCCGTCTTATCCCCGCCCACAGCCTACCCACAACCCCGCCCCCACATTAGCCCCGCCCACAACCCTGCTTCTCCGCCGCGTGGGGGCGGGGCGGCCCGGCGACAGAGGCTGCGGGGGCGGGGCCGGCCTCACCCGGAATGAAAACAAACGGCGGCCGCCGGCGCATCCGGGCGTTCGGCGGGTTACGGTTGGCGCGGCGGTGGCGCAGGTGAGGAGTCGGCGGCCGAGCGTCGAGTCCCAGACCCGGGTCTCAGCCGCGCCGCCTGGCGCCCCCGCTCCCCCGGCGCGACCCCGACGCCAACCCCGTGTGGGTCGGGCGCGACCGCAGCGGCGGGAGGTGGGCGCCCTGCGCGGAGGCTCGGCCGGGACTGGGGTCGGCGGGCCGGGGTTTCAGGTTGCGCCGGCATTTCGCCGCGCCCTAGGTTTGCTCTGGGCTGGGCTGAGGTGCTGGGTACTTAAAAAGAAGATTGAATAGTGTCTTTGGAGGGAGAAAGAGAAATATATGTATATATTAAAATTAATTAGCCATACAAAAAGCTTGAGTCATAACACTAATTCCAGATATGCCATTTGGGATTTATTTGCAAAGACAGATTTTCTTTGCTGTTTAATGAGAAAACACTTTATTTTCTCCAGCCTTGACGATCTGATTCTGTATTTCTCAACTCTTTCCCATACTCTTATTTTTTAATACAAGATTCTTGTAATAGTCTGCCTAAGAGAAGAATTAATGTATTTTGAATGAATATATGTAGATATATATTTGAAAAGCTCTGGGGAAAGGTAGCGTTGATCGATTTATTACAAAAGTGAAAGTGAAATTTTAAAGGAACGTTTTATACCTTTTCGCTTTCAGTTTAGAGCAGTAGTGCTAATGAATTTCTGCTTTTGGGGGGGACTGTGTTGCCGAACATTGTATGGCATCCATGAAACGTTCAGTTCTCCAGTTAAAATCGGAAACTGATTTATTAATCCTTTTTCCCTTTTGATTTAAAAGATGTATCCTCGTTTATTCGGTTGTCTGGAAGTGAAGTTTTGTAAGTTTCAAGACAGTGGTGTAATCTTTTCTCAAACATAAGTGGTGGTTCATAGACCCTCCTTGCTGTTTATTTGCTGGTTCGGTGGAGTGTGGGCCCGCACACTCGGTTTAGGAAATCCCTTGAGACTTTGGTCAGGTAGCTACTTGGATGGCAGAGGGCTGTGCATTCAGCCTTACAGATAGCTTGGCTCCAGTAAATGGCCCTTTCCCCACAAGTGATACTTTCGTGGGAATTTCTGAACATTTATCAGTAGAGAACTAACTTTGTGTAGTGGTCCTGTAAGTTATTTGTGTTTGGAAAGCTAATGCTCGTAAGTGCTAATATGCTTTTCTGTGTGAGAAGCAGTTTATTAGTGCTTGAAAATCTGGGGTTCTTTTGTAGGTTACCTGGATGCACACAGCCCCCTCTTTGATGTGTTTTTTTTCTTTATCCCTTTTCTCCCCGCTATCCTGATTACCCTCCTTCTTGCCTCCAAATTGATATAAAATAGATTTGAACTTTCTTTTAAAACACTTGTTTATGGAATACACTTAAGTTCTCAAACTTGATTTAAAAATCAGGTGAATTGAGTTTTGGGGAGTGTGGGATACAGGCCCTGAATAAAAAAAAGAAAGTTACTTATCTGGGTTACATTAACTCTTACATATTTTTTCACTCTCTAGAATGTGTCTTCATCCTTCAAGGGTAATAGCTTTTGACTTTTCTTGCTGCTTATCTGTTTTGGCTGTACTGCCCCTGTCAGCTGTTTGATCCTCTAGCCGCCTCACTCACCCCTTTGAATTGGTGTGCTAGTGAAGGTTGAGTAGACAGCTCCATTGCTGTGTGTGATTCTTTGGGAGAGAGTAGTTACATGCACAGGACAGAGAAGCAGCAAGGGATTTCGCGATAGAAGGCAGAATCCAGTAGTCCAGTGTTGTAGGTAGAAGTCCCAGTGCTAGTTATGCTGCTGCCTAATTTTGCATCCTTGATTGAGTCATTTTACAAACTTGGGCCTTGGTTTTCTCATCTGTAAAATGATGACCCAGCCAGTATTGATTTGAATAGTATATGTAGATTTGCTTTTATGCTTTATCACAAAATAGCATGCATAACTTTCTAGTATTGTAAACACTAAATTTTTAATTTAAAAAATTCAGATATAGAAAATATTTGTTATGGATAGTTCATGGTTCAAGCTAGCTTTTCTTCATGTTTACCTGTCAAGGTGATTGGTCTTTTGTGTTGAAATAGCCAATATACAGGAGAATTGATAAGCTCTGCATCGAATTGTTTAAGTTCACTACTTTAGGGATTTATCTTATTTTTTCTCTTAGAGAATAATAGCAGGTTAAGAAATAGAAAAGTGTAATAAACCTTGCTACATATTAGCAACTTTGAAATATGTATTTTTATGTAATATATATAATTGCATATGTAATACATATTTCAGTCTGTATATAATATATACATCTTTTAGAGAAGCCTGGAGCTAGTTAAAACCTAGTCTAAAAGTAATTTAGACTAAACTGGAGGAGGAGTGGAGGAGACCTCTGCTTACTCTAGAAAACCCATCAATGTATTAGGTAAGTTATAAAACACTTTGAAATGTGGCATGGGGTATCAGTGATGTACTGTTTTGCTTTCAAGGATGGCGCAAAAGAAATATCTCCAAGCAAAATTGACCCAGTTTTTAAGGGAAGACAGAATTCAACTCTGGAAACCTCCATATACAGATGAAAATAAAAAAGTTGGTTTGGCATTGAAGGTATTTTCCTTTTAAGACATTAATAATTAGTAGTGTTGTAAGTCTCCTTGGTAAGTAAGATTCTGAAGTCACCAGAAATTGCCAGGCACAACCAGGTAAACCTTTGGCATAACCAAAAACATGAGTGAAAAGCAGGTCCCACATTTTATTAGCAGTTGGCAAGCTTATTTTTATTTAAAAAGATTTTATTTATATGAGAATGGTATCTAATTATTTTGGCATATATCATTTCTAATACCTTCATGATGTTACCTAAGTTTATTAATCTGGGTGTTCCTGCTAGCAGGGCAGTTCCAGTGCCAGAAGCTTAGTGTGTGACCTGTTCAGCGTTAGTGTCCTGGTGGGTTCTCAGCCCTCCTTGCTACTGTGGTCTGCTGTAAAACAATGCTTCCCTCCCCCAGCTTTGTTTACACTATGGCTATCTGTTCATTTTTCCAAAATATATTTTCCTAATAATTATGCCTTGGTTTTTTATGGTATCATCAGAAGTGGCATCATTTTACATAAGTGAAACTTCTAGAAATTGAAGTTTGCCTGCCTTTCGAAGCTGAGGAACATTAATCATTTTTGATAGAAATCTATTATATTGGAATATCCTAGAATGTACTTCTCTGTTTTCTCAGTCTGAGTATATTGAGATAAACAGTGTAACATTTATCAAGGACTAAGGATTGTCAGGAGGGCATCAAATTGTCCTGTGTTGTGACACAATGACGTGCTTGGGAGGTGATAGTGATAGCTGTGTCAGGGTCTTAGGGTTTTCCTGTCTCTCTTGTTCCTGACAGGACTCACTTTTTAGTTTTTGCAAACCTTCTGATCTTTCTTTTGAATTTGCTTGTTATAATTTCTTGGCTTAGAAACTAGGTGTGGCATAATAAGAAAGCTGCTTTCTGTCCCCAGTTCCTGGCACGGGGCTCCTAAAACCCTTGGAAATTCCCGAGTGGTAAGGGTGACAGGGGCATCTTTTGTTCTAAGAGGCAGCTCTTTGGAGAGAGCTTCAGGGTGGGGCTGCTCGCCTACAAGACCAGACTTTGATTAGAAGCTTGGAACTTGCAGCCCTACCCTCCAGCCTCTGGTGAGGGCAGAGGGCTGGAGATCAAGCTACTCACCAGAGGCCAGTGATTTTATCAATCGTGCCTACATAATGGAGCCTTCATAAAAACCCTTAAATGATGGATTTGGGGAGCTTCCAGATTGGCAGACACGTCCCTGCGCCAGAGAGTAGCACACTCCAGCTCCACAGGAACAGAAGCTCCTGCTCTCTGAACCCTTCCAGACTTTGCCACATGTACATCTCCATCTAGATGTTCATTTGTACTCTTTATAATAAACTGTAATAATAAGTAGAGCATTTTCCTGAGTTCTGTGGAGTTGTTCTAGCAAATTACCAAGCCTGAAGGGGTAGGGGTTGTAGGGACCCTTGACTTTGTAGCCAAGTCAGACAGAAGTGTGGGTAACCTGGTGCCTGAAATGAAGGCAGACTTGTGGGATTGAGCCCTTAGCCTGTGGAGTCTGCCTCTAACTCCAGATCGTTAATGACAGAATTGAATTGAATTGTAGGACATCCAGTTGGTGTCAGGAGGGGGAAAAAAACCCTCACTGAGTAATTATGTTTATGTTTTCTAGAGAATTACAGAAAGTTTCGGGTTTTTTTTAATTTATTTTATTTATTTATTGTTGGCTGTGTTGGGTCTTAGTTGCTACGCACGGGCTTTCTCTAATTGCAGTGAGTGGGGGCCACTCTTCTTTGTGGTGCGCCGGCTTCTCACTGTGGTGGCTTCTCTTGTTGCGGAGCATGGGCTCTAGGTGCACGGGCCTCAGTAGTTGTGGCCCACGGGCTCTAGAGCGCAGGCTCAGTAGTTGTGACGCACAGGCTTAGTTGCTCCATGGCATGTGGGATCTTCCCGGACGAGGGTTCAAACCCGTGTCCCCTGCATTGGCAGGCAGATTCTTAACCACTGCGCCACCAGGGAAGTCCTCTGATCTGTTTTGTAACTTATGTGTATCATGAACATCTCCCCTATTATAAATATATACTTAACACCGTCGTATAACCTGACTTGTTCTCACAA